CTCCCCCTCCACCCCCTGCCCCCATGCCCAGACCCCCCCACCACCACCACGCCTTGGCCTCCTGCCTTGGACGGGCCTAATTATAGCACAGGCGCTCAGCCCTTTGGCCTGGAGACAGACGGACGGGGAGGAGAGAGACGCCAGGCGTCGAGCGACTTCTCAGATCTCAGAGGCTCCCCGGATTTTTTGGGGGAGGGTGGGGGGCTTCACTCCATTATTGGGGAGCTGCTGCTGTGGCTGGAGGTGTGCGCTTACCTGCCCCGCTTCCAGGTGAATCGGTCTATCTAACCCCTTTGGAATCTTGGCCCCCTTTAAAACAGGTGGAATTCTGGGAATTGAAGTCTCAAACACCCTCTCCCCCCACCCAGCCTTAAAGCATGCTGGGATAATTCTGGGAGGGAACCCCTAACCTTTTTAACAATGGCCTCGTCGATTCCCTTAACGGCCGTGGACAATAGCCGCCGTCGTAAAAATGGGGGTAGAAAAACACTTGGCTCAGAAAACTTTCTCTGTTTGAAGCAGCCGAGATTTGGGGCACCATTTTTTAATTCCGCGCGGAATAAGATAAACCAAAATGTGTGGGAAGGGCCCCCCAGAGGTCATCTAGTCCAACCCGCTCAAGCCGGAGAGCCCGTACCCCCTTTCAGACAATCTCTCCTTGAAGAGCCTCCAGGGATGGTGGGGTGCCCACCATTTGGGTCGTATCCTCGCCACCAAGGCCTCTGATCCCACGGAAGGAAAGCGGCTACCGTTCGCCGGTTGGGGCGTCGGTGCGCAGGGCAGGAAACCCACCACCACTGCAGCTTCCTTGTATATTTTGGGGTGTGTGTGTGTGTGTGTGTGTGTGTGTGTGTGCACGCATCGCACCATCCAGCTGGGTGAGATGTCAAGGAAGGGACGGCAACACGCCGAGAGGATGCCAGCTCCTCGCGGCTGCCAGCCGTAGTAGCGCACACATCACTTCCTCTCGTACCTCCGTCTCTTCCTCTAACGGCTTTCTCCCACCCCCCACTCCGCCACACTACCGGTTGTCAAAGTCCAGCTTGTTCTGGGTGGAGATCAGGGGGCAGCTGGGCAGCAAGACCACCCCCTCCCTCCTCCTCCTCCTCCTCCTCCTCCTCCTACGGTGCCCGCCTGACATTCACGGCTAAAAATAGCCGGTCCATATCAGCTCAGCTGTCCTTTCGCTGGGCCCTCGGCTACTTTCCCTATCGCCTTTCGCTCGCTCTTTCTTTGGCCGGAGCCTTGACGGGACGCCTGCTCAGCCCCCCCGACGTCTCTGGGCCTCGGGGCCCCCCCTCTCCAGTGCTAGGTAAGGATTTCCCAATCTCCCCTTGCTCTGGTCTGGCGATCGGGGAGTTTGGACCCACGGTGGTCGGAGCCCACGGGTGGGCTTAAAATATATCGAGCAGCGGAGCGGAGTGAGTTTGGCAAACTTTTTTCCGGCCTGTGATTCTCTTTTTTTTGGGGGGGGGGTGTTTAATGGCAACTTTGACTTCTCGGCCCCGGAACCGTAGACCTCTTCGTGGGGGCACCTGTGCCCGTGGCACACCTCCCACGCCGGTGGTCCATGTGGGTTTTTTCTTTTTTCTGGGTTCTGGGTGGGGAGAATGGCCACGCTCCCCTCTCCTTGGTGGTTCTCCTTTCTTTGGTGGAAGAGGAAGTCTGCGCCCCCCCAAAAAAGATGTCGCTGGAGGAGATGGGGGGGGTTTCTTGGGGTGCCTGTCTTGGTTTGGGACAGTATGAGAAGGCACGGATCAACCCCCTGGCTTTCTCCCAGTTGTAGCCATCGGCTCCGGGTTTCCGCCTCTTTTCACGGCCCCCCGTTTCCTGAGACCTTCCGATCTTTGGAGAGAAAGAGATGGGAAGAGAGCCCCATTAAACTGTTGTGTGTGTGTGTGTGTGTGTGTGTGTGTGTGTGTGTGTGTCTGCCTGGCCTTCCTTGGCTCTGAAAGGCCGTAGGCCACGGGGGCCACGAGGGCCGGCAGCGGGACCACCGATGACTAAGCCTTCTTAAAAGCCGCTCCTCGGTGCGCCCGCCGGCATGCTGAGAAGTGGAAGGACGGAGGGTCTGCCAGGGGTTGGTGGGTCTACTCCACCTCCCTTGCTTAGGGCCCTGAATAAGCAACGCCAGGGTTTGCCCAACCCGCGCGGGGGGCACCTGAGTCAGCCTCTCAGAATAATCCCCTGGGCAAAACACAGGAAAGGCCATCCGGTAGGTCGGGAAAACGTCCCGCCTCTCGGGGATTGGGGAATCCGCTTGGCCCCCGAAGGCTCCCCGGATCACCCCTCTTAAGCCGGGGAGACCCTGCCGCGTTTCGCTGGGCGTGGTCCCTCTGTTGACCGGGGGTGGTGGGTGCGTCTTAGTGGCGAAGCCTAGTGGGTGGATCCAGAAACGCCAACGTATTTGGGAAATGGGCCTTAGCAAGTGGTGGGGGGGGAAAGGTCTTGGGTTCTGTATAATAGCCTGGGGGCAAGTCCCCCCCGGCCAGAATCGGGAACGGGAGGCTGTTTTAAGACTTGTTTTAGCAAAGTGGATGGAGTATATAGCAAGATTTGGAGTGCATTTTTGGCTAGTCTTGTAGAGTAGAGTAGAGTAGAATTGAATTGAATTGAATTCAGAGTAGAGTAGAGTAGAGTAGTAGAGTAGAGTAGAGTAGAGTAGAGTAGAGTAGAATCTTTATTGAGAATAGAATAGAATAAAATAGAATAGAATAGAATCTTTATTGAGAATAGAATAGAATAGAATAGAATA